AGCAAACATTGCAGCTTGGTCCGGTGTCTATTGTGCATTTTTGATGCAGATAACAGGACTTAGATAACGTAGTGACTGCATGGCTTTGGTTACAATGGGAATTTGTCAGAGAAGTCTTTAAAACAGCTGAGAGGAAGTTTTGGCAAGAACGCTGTCACACAAACACAGTTTTTAAATAGTTGTAAGTTGTCAGTGATTTATCTCTATGGGTTCTGTTCAACAGCAAGCATGGATGTTCAGCGGCTCTTTCCCAGGGAACTGAGGGGAAACGGGGTTGGCTTCCCAGGCACCAAACTGAAACAGTGCAAGGGTGCTTATAGATTATAAACTACTGGTCCCCAGTGTTTTTGACGAGCAGTTAAGCTACCCTCACCGTTTATTGTGGTCATGCACTACCATCAAAGTTTGGGCACTGTTGAAAATAGCTCTGTGGAAAAGCTTCAGACCACCTTCCATCACCTGGAGGAGTACAGTCAAACCAAAGCACCTGAGGGCTTGGTTTCACAGGAAGATTGGCAGGGACAAATAGGGATAAATGCAGGCTACCGTTTTTTTAGTGAATATTATTCCAAGTGTAGTCAGCATCCCGTGCATCAGAATGGAGGTGCAGCCAGGAAGAGCTGGGAATGTCCCCTAATCCAAGTAGGAAAAGAGAAGGTACCAGTCTCCATCTCTTTTTTCCTCTAAGAGTCGAGGTTAGCAGCCTTCAATCCTTTTTTACTGCTGAATGCTAGTCCTTGGTCATACCCGGCTTAGGAGGGGCACTACGAGGAATACTGAGAAACTGTAGAATCTGAAACAATTTGATTTTTTTCAGGATAATTCCTTTCTAATGGCTGCAAAGCTGCTAATTACTTAACTCATTGCACAGGAAAACAGTGGGTTAAGGAGGGATGGGGAAAGCAGAGGAAAAGAGTGTTGAACCAAGTTTTAGCTGAGTAGTTTGCAGCAAAGTTGTGTGTGCTACTAAGTAGGATCGCTGCCGCTGAGCACAGTGGTCAGGGAGGTGGTGTTTGGAGCAATGCCTCTTCAGAGGTGACTGTTTCTTGTCCACCTCGAGCCTCTCCTAGCTCAGCTGTTGCTGCACTGCACTGTGTTTATGGTGGGAACGTATTCTGTGTCTGCTGCTGCTAAGACCACTGGTTTTGACGGCATCGGTGCAGTCTTCCTGAGAGGTTCTTGGCTCTCCCCCAGCCGACTGCATGCCCTTACAAGTGGAACCGGGCAGATCCTTGCTGTTCTCCTGACTCTCTCTGTACAGAACTTACTCTTTGCCTCCAAGGAAATGGGGCAGGGACAGGTCTGCGGAGGTAATAAATGCCGCTTGGAACGGAGTGCAAAGGAAGTTTAACTTAACTTTTGCCAGACCGTAGCTTGATTATATGTGTGAGGCTTAATTTAACTGTTGCCAGACCTTTCAACTTCCATTTTTTTTCAATACTGTCATGGGAAAATAGCCTTCACCACAAAGCTAGAAGTATCTTATTCCTATATGATGAAGAGGGTCAGTCTCTGGGTTTCTGAGGCTTCTTTTGTCTAAATGCCAAGGTATGATCCCCTCAGGTAGAACTGTGTCCAGTTGCTCCTTTGATTCTTTAAGTTTCTGAAAGTCTGATGTAAATGGTAAGTATTCTCTACAGATATAGATATTGATATAGATATAGACTATGATTAGTAGTAGGTAACAGGAAATATGGGTGAATTATTATCTATACTTACAGTGTCCTTCTCCTTTTGATACATGCAGAATGCCCAGAATGTCAACTGTATGTGCTATTTGTAGTCGACCTTGTTTTGAAGTTTTGTGGACAACTTCCCTCTTGAAAAATCAAAATATAGGATGATGGTATTCTGTGAAAGACAATTTCTGGAATATACTGGAGAATTAGTTTACACTGATCTAGCTACGTTTATATAGTTTTTACATTAATTCATTTCTATCTTCAGAGAGAAAAAATTGTTTCATGAAGGTTTAGTGCAAATAACCTCTCATTTATGTATTTTATGAAATGGGAACAAGAAATTCTGAGTTGTATCTAGTCTGACAGAGATCTGAAAGTTGCTAATAACTCATAGAAATGCTGCATACTTGGGCATGCCTTGCTGAGTGCAGGAGCCCTCCTGCATCAGTTGGATACCAAAGGGTCCTTTTGACAGTTCTATGAGGAATGCCAAGGAGATGGGCAGGCAGTGATTCACCTGGAAATAGTCATCATCATTTACCCCTCCAAACCTTCTCAGATAACTCACTTGAACAACAGATGCCAGAAATGATTGGAAAGCCAATAATGTAAATAATTTAGATGTTTCTAAGAAGCCCTAATTTCTACATAACTTTTTACCTTCTATACGGTACTGTGCAAGGAGTTTTGTGAATATCTGTGGTGAATAATGTATATATTAAAAGACAGCAAATATTCGCTCCATTCAAACTTCAGGAACTGATTTCACGTTAGTCAAACAGACATTGCAATGGAATATATATGGGAGTAACCTTAAGCTTTGTTTTCTAGCGTTTTTGTAATTATAAGGTGGGTTTTTGGTTGCATTGCTATTGTATCAATTCCTTTAAACAAATTTACCAGTAAGTTTAAAAATGTTTATATTGCTTAATTTTCTTCTTTCTAGACCATTTATTGCTGAAAAACTCTGGGGAATAGAAAACATGCATGAATATTCACTTTTTTAATATTACACAAATAATGTCAAGTGTAGAAGCGCTTGTGAGTCTCTTGTGATCACACTTACGAAAAAATGAGAGTGCTGGCTGCAGATTCCCCAGCTTCACGTAATTCTTTCTACAGCTCTGAACTAAAATATTTTTCACAAAAATGTATTTTATACAAAGAAAAACATGTCTCTAAACAAGTGCAAAAATGAATGCAATGCAATAACACAGCACGACTGCATTAATATTTTTGTGTCTGAAAAGTAGAAACACAATGGCAAAGGTATGTTATACATAAATATATTTTATCTGTTTTGTTGTCTGTGGCAGGTGGCACACAAGGTGCTTCCATAATTAACTTCCACTGATTTTTGCAAGGGCTTAGTCAAACCCAAAGAAATTTTAACTTTCTTGTAAAAAAGCTCTTTATAAGTGCTGGTAGTTTGGGAATGTATCTATCTGACATGTAGCGTGTACTTTACCCTATATAATTCTCTCCCTGATTTTTTTGGTGTAGTCTGAGATAATGAACAGTTTTCCTTTTCCCTTTTTTGAAAAGATGGGAGTCTTCCACGCAGTAAGATTTAGCAAGAGAAGGTATGACGTGAGGGATGCTGGCAGGAAGTCACACTCCTGGATTATCCATCATCGTGATAGTTGATGGAAATGACTGAAATGGGCACATAGGAAAAGTTACAAAAATTCAGTGAATTCTGATGTCACAAATGATAAATGTGAGAACAGGAATCACAGTTCAATTTGGCTTTTGGAGGATATATCAGAGAGCTTTGAAGGCAGAGAGGTTGGACTCTCGTTGTAGCTGTTCACCTTCAGAGAGCGAGTCAGCTCCTCCAGTTCCATCTTTGTTTTTCTTCTGCTTCTAGATTTGTTGCAATGTTCTATTGTACATTTTTTTTCCCATGGAGTTTATGATGCTGCCTTTTATGTAGAGGCAACTTTGATTTATGGTCATTTTTATGTTTTCTTGGAAGGCAGCTCTTCTTATTCATGAGCTTATTTAGATATGCTCACTAAAATGGGAATCAGGTTAAGATATGTGCTGTTACGTCTGTTTATAGGGCTTCAAAACTTGATGTTATGACTATGCTTAGGATTTCTCTTAAAAAAATGGATGACAGTAGGCCACACACAAAACTAGATGAGGTTTCTTTGATAACTGTTTGAGAAGGTTGAGAAGTCTGAACTATTTATGTTATGTTCTTTGAGACAAAATGGTCTAATACGTGACACTAAGGGATTTTAAGTAAGCTTTTAAAATTAGTTTGCACCCGTAAGCAAGCAAGCAAGCAGGTTTAGTTGTGGATGGTGAGAATGTTTGTTCTGTTCTCACCAGCCTGTATTTCTGCACAGCTCGTGCTTGTTACCTGCGTGCAAGAAAATGCTTGGGTGCTGCGCTGCAAGTGCAGACTGACGGCCGTCTGTCTGGCAAAGCCGTATTTGAAGAGACTCACAGGGTTGAAAGCTAATAAATCAAAAGCTTTACATTGTCTGCTGGGAGTAAATTTGTCACTTTTTTATTTACATGAGACTATGCAGAAGGAGCGGTATTTAACAGTTCTTTTATCTTTGCTCAGTATCTTCTTTGGAAGCTTTTTTTTCCCAAGTGGGGGAGAAAAAAAACATTAAACTAATAGTATAGGTGAAAAGAACTGGGTTATATACTGGAAAAAAGGCAATGGCTGATTGAAACTGATAGGTGATGTGTTCTGAAAGATAACATTTAGCTAAGAGAGTCTAAGACAGAATGCATAGTACCACTAAGTCATGTTTTATATGAAGTAACATTAGCAGGTTATCTTCAGGTCCGCCTGCCTGCATGCTTTTGCTCTCAGCATTGTGTACAAACCGTATGATTTAGAGCATTTAATATTTACATTTACTTGAATTTCATGTTTCCTGGCAGGATAAAAAAAACCCAACCAAACAAAAAACAGCTTCTTGCTATGAAGCCAGTCTTTGCTAGTGTATGAATAGAAATTGGAAGGCTCTTCTGAACTGAAGTGTACGGTGGTGCATCAACACTCCGACCTTTTCAATAAAAGTAATTTGTTATTCATAAGACAATATAAACAACTGGCTTATATGGTTTGTAAGCAGTGAGATACCAATTCAAATATTATAAATGATAAACCTGTACTTGTCACTGGTGGCCATTTTGCCTTGTTCAGAGGCAGTGCTGTGGGGCACTGCTTTGCCTGTTTGGGGTGGGAGTGAGGAGCTACATGTCTGAGATGCAAATAAAACACAATACGTATAAAAGTGAGTTATTTTAGTATAAATGCAGGCATGAAACACATGTTTTTGTTTTCAGATTTAACAAATCAAGTAGAGACAATTGGACTGAAGCTGCAGAAAGTAACAGCCGAGATGGACCACTACAAAAAGCTGTTAATGTAAGATTTCCGTTTGCTTGGCCGGTTTGCCACTGCACACAAAGCTCTAACAGACCTTTTTGGTTTTTTTTTTTTGAAAGCACTGCTTGTCATGATGGCTTCAGAAGGTTATGACCAACAGAGAAAATATTTAATCTTTGTATTAAACGGTCGGTATTTCTAGCCACCTGACTGAGCATGTCTGTCTGTGGAAGCAGGGCTTTCTCCCTCCTGCTGTGTTTAATGATACTGCAAAGAGGAGGGTTAAGGTTAAGTCAGCTCAGTCTGACACTTTATTTAATATGCAACTGTAGGATAAATTTTGTGAAATCCATGTAACTTCTGGACTAAAAATGTACGTGGAAAGTAGTATTTCACATCGTAGTTTTGGGATGGAGGGAAGCGTGCAATAAAACTAATCAGAAACTTTAGCATTTAATCAGTGACTATGATTTCTTTTTTTATTCATCCTCCCCCTCCCAAATGGAAATTTGCTGTGACTTTTCCCCACGCACCAGTACACTACTGCGGTTTGTAATTTTACTGTGTCGTGCCTATGGTTTCACGTAAGAGTATGCAAAACCTAAATTAATAGAGTAAAAATAGAATGTCATCAAACACTTGTCGGAGCTAACTTTAGTGCAATGAGTGAGAAGAGAGCACTCACACAGAGTGAAAAATTCTGCTTGCTCCATCTGCAGCCCACCCGAAAGCAGTGGTGCCCGGGCACTGCTCTGCTGAGTCCCACTTTCAGATGCTGCAGCCCACAGATGAAGGGGAGAGCAGAAATGAGACCTCTGTCAAAAGTTGAGGAAATGAGAAAAAAGATGCACTTCTTAACTGTTGTTGTGCTATTGCACGCTGTTCTCCTGGGTTGATCTTTTAATGGCCAAGCCAGGGCCGTGCAGTGGAGTTGCCACGCTCCCTGTGCCCTGGGGCTGTCCTCTATTGACTTTCACGGGAGCTGTATCGGGCACCCAAAATCAGGGCTGGGTGACCTCCAGGGTCCTGTCCAGATGCAGGGGTGCTCAGAGAGACCTGTGTCGTGACCTCTAAAAGGTGCATGATCCAGGATCTGAATGCTTTCCTGTATCCAAAATCCTTATTGCTTGAGTATAACATTGAAAATCATTCAGAAACAGCAGCACGTTATAATTCACTTTCTAGCACTTTATAATTCACTACTGAAAATAAAAAATTACTGTTTCAAAGATTAAGCTCGAGAGTAACGAACTAGCACTGCCGATCTCGAGACCAGCTATCATGGGGTTTTTGTGTGTTTTCCTGAAATTTAAACAAGGATTCATTCTTCTATGATGTGTACTTTCTGGTTTTGGTTCCTATATTCAGAGGGTCTGATCATAACGAAGTTGCAAATATTTGGAATGCTTAGCAACAAAGTATTTTAATGATAATACACGTATTGAGTATGAAAAAAAGATTTCATGAACGTAGTTAAATAAACAGCAAAGGGTTTCCAAATGCAGTATTAAAATTCTAGTGTAATACGGGTACAATTTAATAAAATAACATATTCTATATCTGTTTAAGTGTAAATATGAAGCTTAACCATGGTTATTAATTGGTGAAATTATGACATAATGACAAGAAACCTGTTTCCAGCCCTCTTACCTACTAAATTATTTGTTCATTTTTATTCATATCTTACGTGAAACCTTCATTGGTGTTGCAAGATCTCACTTTCTTGTTTGCAACATTAAACTTGTCGAGATCCTAAGTTAGGCTGAGATTACGTTGGAAGTGTAATTTACAATTACTTAAAAATGTTAGCTAGGACTAACAGAACTTTTTGTTGTCTACCATTTAACTAAAATAGAAAATGCAAGTTGGATAATATGCCAATAAACCTGATGTTCAGGTTACTGCATGAGTAAAGGCTATCATTTCTTTGGACAAATACACTTTTTTTTTAATGTTTTCTTAGGGTGAAATCAACGGAACTTGATGTCTGTCAAAATGAACTGAAAAAAATGAAATACGAAAATGGAATTTCTGAGTCAAGGTAAATGCTGAAATTGTATGTCATAACATAACACAGATTTCTGAGCAGTGAGAGCAAAGAATTTATTTTATGATTTCAATGCAGCTTTTCTACAATATTTTTTTTTCTGGTTTTAGTTTCTATTTTTGTGTTCATGTCACCAGATTTAACTTCATAATGAATATATAGCTTTTTATCTAATATTTCATTTTCCAGGTACAAATAATTTCTATTTCATATCTGTAAATAAGAAAATAATAACTGGGATGCTGATACTTTTGCTTCATCTGTAGACTTACGAAAGAGCTCAAGGAAAAGGAGGAATCTCTTCTAATTTGCCAACAAGTATGCAAACATTTACAGGAAGAGGTGGCTGAGAGAGAAAGGAAAGAAGATCTAAAAAGAAGAACTGGTCGATCAGAAAGTGAGCTGGAAGCACTTAAAACTCTTCTTAGACAAACAGAGGAAGAGGTGGTGATGTTGAAACAAGAAAGGTAATGGGAGCTGAGTCACCACGGGTGATCTCCTGTGACTGAACCTTCAGCCTAGATTGTCTTTTGGGAAACTATTAAAAATAAAAACATTCCTTCTCTGCCAGATCCTCAACCTCCCTCACTGTTACCGAAAGGACAGACAGATTCTGTAAAGCCCCAGAGGTGCTTTGTGCCGGTCAGGATGCGGGAGGAGAGGCAGTAGAACCAGGAGTGTGGCTATGGCACTGGGCAGACTGGGAGGGACCCGCTGGTCCCAGCTTGTGTGTTCTGAAGTCGCTGCCTTGCCTGTGCGCTCAGGACAGTCCTACCCTGCCACTGACTGCTCACATCTCTTGCTTCTAGGGCAAAACTCTAAAAGCCTTGGCAGCTCTGAACTCATATCCTGAAATTTTGGAATTCATTGGACGCATTTTTTAAAATTCTTACAGTATAGACAAAACCTGAATGAAAAAGAAAAAAAAAAAAGAAAAAAGCCTATTAAAAAAAAAGGGGGGGGGAGGAATCCTTGCTTTGCAGTCCAGGGCTTCAGCTCAAGCATAATCAAAACACCCATTTATTGCAGTTGTTATAGTTGCTATTTGTTATGTGCGACTTGCAGAGCAAAAGCCCCAGAGAGTTTAAGTTCTTGTAACTTATGTTATTAGCAACTTGCAAATCGTAACAATGCCATAAATATTACAATATGCCAGGTTATTGGATATGGGCTAATATTTGGTGAAGTGTATGGACAACTTCCCAGCGGTAAATTTTCAGTTACTGATAAATAAGCTTGTCTTTTATTGGCAAAATAGAAAGTGCTGTCCCCTAGTTAAGACATGGCAGTACGTTACTGGTTTGCTTTGTGTACAACGGAAAATGTATTCAGGGAAGCGGCTTTTGGAGAACATAAGCACTTTTTGAGTGATGTACACCAAGAGGCATTAAGGTATTTTCATATTTAAAGGGTTTGAATATTCCCTGTACTTTAGTACTTGCATGAAAAGATATTAAATGTTAATTTAAGAATATTTTCCTTCTACTTAAACCCTGGATACATGAGTTGTTCCAGGTGGTACATTGCTAATAATCTAAGTTACAAGAATTTAAGCTCTCCAGGGCTTTTGCTCTATACAAGCCTCACATAACAAACAGTAACTCTAACAATAGAAAGCACTCGGTGGTTTCAATTCAAAATCTATTACAATTTTTTAATTTGTTATAGTAATATTCCGAGTTCATTAAATACAACAATTTGTGTTTTGTATATTATAACAGTTTTTCAGTGTTTTTCAAAATTGGACTTCAGAAATACTAAAAATATTTGAGGTTTAAATATGTGTGTGTGGAAGAAAGATCAACTCCAGCATTTTCTTTAAAATGCAAAATTCATAAAGTATGTGATGGTGTTATGCAAATGCTAAATAGTGATTACTGCTGTGCCGCTGGGCTCTGGGCAGGATTGCTGGGCTTATTGCACAGAATACCGAACAAAGAGGAAAAGACAAGCATTTGCCGCACAGGGCTTAATTGCAAGAAAATGGCATACCACCGAGCTGGGCAGAGCACATATTTACATACGAGTTTTTGTGGTTTCTAGGGAGTTAATGCTGATTTCTCATCAGAACAGAACAGAGCAGCTGCAGGAAACATTAAGGCAGAAGATGCGGAATGAAGATAACTGGAGGGAGAAGGTAATGCGGGATGTGCAGTTGGCACCCTTTTAATTTCTTCTTTATTTTTTTTCAGTTGTAGTCAGCTGTCAGAAATGAGTGCGGTAAGCCAGATACCTGTCTCCTCAAGTGCAAATATGTCAATAGTGTTCCTTGTACAAGAGGTTTTAACGGGTGATCTCTCTACATGAGTTGGAACTGAATGCAGGTGTTCAGTATGAGCGTTTACAGGCTTTGAAGACGTTCGGGTTTGATCCAGACTTCCCAGGTTTCAGGGGATTTGCAGTGTGCCAGTGTTAGGAGTGCAGTCCCCTGAAAGCCTGGGTGTGAGGAGCAGGACTGAGCCCACTGAACCTCTGATCTTCCAAGCTCCGTGCTTTCCCTGTGTGCTCTGCAGGAAAAGCCCAGTCTCACAAGCCGTTGTCCTACACAAGCTCCAAGGAGGTGAACATGCAGAGCCCACCCTCTTCTGTGTGCAACCATCCGGGTTATAGACCCCGAACCACAATTCTGCATGGGGGAGCGCATCAGTGCCTGGATTTGTTTCCTGACACATCTGGCAGAGAAGCACAGGGAAGCATATATTTAATATTGAAGTAGTTTCCCAGTAAAACTAAGGTTGTGTGTTGTTGACAAGATGGAGAGAATGCAGAGCCTTCCTGCTTGCATAGTAGGTGAACTGAAGATTGCTATTTGTAAAACAAATCTATAAAGTAAACAATAAGCAGATGAGCAAAAATGTCCTTTCCTCAGAAGACAGGCATTTGCAAACCAAAGCAGAGCTAAACAAACAAGCTGTTGTAGCATAGTGATTCTGGAGCTGTCAGGAGATGTTGAATAGGAAAGGCAGCGGGGTTGTTGGCTGTACAGTGGACGATGAGGGCGAGAGGTGTGTGGATACCCTGCCAGGTACTTACTGCAGCTGTGAATGCAGGATATGTGCTCACGCCATTCCTGGGACGATTCTGTCGCTCACGGCAATAAGAAGTGAAGAGGTAACAGGACAGTTTTATCCTTGCCAAGTCCTCTGTGAACATGAAATTTGTTGTTTTGATACAAATCTTTAGTTCCTGCTGGTGTCAGGAGGTGTATGGAGAGGAAAATGGCACCACCAAATTAGCAGTGTCATCTAGCTTGAGACCTGAAGTACTTGGAACAAGCATTGATTGCAGCCTGGGGGTGCAGGGAAGCTTGTACAACCTGGGGTTCGGGATATGTGCGCCCCTCCACACAGTCTCCCTGCCAAGTGGTTGAGAGGCACCTTGTTCTGCCTGACCTGGCAGGCTCTGCATGCCCACAGGCAAAGAGCTCAGGGGGAGATGGGTATCAGCTTGGCGAGCGCACGGCTAGTTACAGCACAGGACCCTCGGCAGAAGGGAGGTAGTACTGGCTGTCAGCTGCAACGGGGGCTCGGGGAGGGGGCTACGGGGCACGGTGGGTAGGTGGAGGAGCATGGTTAGACTGGGGAATTGGGAAGGGAGACGTGGTAGCAGAAAGAAGGCATGTGGCTTATCCATTCGCTTGAGCTGGGGGTCCTCACAATAAAAAGGAGCTAAAGGAGTTGCATGGTGAAAGTCCCGGAGCTAGAACGGACCTCTAGGGTGCAAAAGGCTTTTGCTCTTTCTGCTGACCTCTAGGATCACCAGTTCCTTTCAGGCAGTTGCATCTCTGCCAGAAATGCCATCTCTGCTCCTGCTAATGACTCTGCTGGGTTTTTTTTTTTTTTTGCTTGCTTTCCCTTCAAATCAGAGCAGTATAAAAATAAAGACTTCAGTGAAATTTACTGTGAAAATACCTTGGTATTTCATTTGAAAAGACCTGACACTCCTGTGAGTTGGCTTCTCTGTGAAATGGCCCATCCGTGGTTACTTTATTCATTGACCCTTACAGAAGCCTGCAAAGCCACTTTCGTGCACCTTCCCACCTAGGCTTTTTTTGGTAATTGGATGATGGTTCCTTTCACAGTAAGGAGGAAGGGGAAGGTGTGAGGGAGAATGACACACCTTCCATACATGCATGCTCCTTTATACATCCCCATTTTTCCTTTAATGAAGTGAAGGAAAAAAAGAAATTAAGTAAAGGCTACAGATGAGAAAGATGGTTGAAATACAGTCAGGAGGACACCCCAAATTCAGGGTCTAGCTGGCTTGGTTGGGAAACAGAGTGGGAAAGAGATTAGGTCTGGTCCTGGTCCATGGATGTAGGATGCAGCATTAGGAAAATAGCTGAGGTGCAGGGCAGCACCCACCCCCAGAGCACCTCGCCACAGCCATGCCAGTGCCGTAGGCATGGCACAGGTCTGCTCCACAAGCGTAAACTCCTGTTAACCTGTCTTTTCTTGTTAGAAGGGCTTCCCATCACTAGCTGCATCTTTAAGGGCTGTTACTACATTCTACAAAGTTAGGTTATAGCTTGTTAGTCATCTTTTAGTATGCACTTGGGTTTGGGGTCTTCTGTGGAAAAATGTTTTCAGCTGATTTAAAAAATAAATGTGTATGCCCGCTGTGTGTGCTAATTGGATAAGTTTCTTAACTAATTGCACAGCTGGTTGGAATGTGGCAGTGCTACAGCTCTTCAATTTTACTGGGCTTTGGGCAGCCTCACTGCATCCGAGCAATCTCGGGAATCAGGACCTTTGGCTCTGCTCTGTGGGACAGATCATTTTTCCTGTAGTTTTGGGTCACGCTGTGAAGTTCTGAGCTGGAGACTCTAACTCGGTTTGGAGAGTCCAGCTGCCAGTCTCTTCCAGTGGGATTTGAAAAGCTGTTTACCATAAACACCTGAGCATGTAAGCTTTGTTTTAGTCTGCAACTTTTTCACCAAAATATAAGACATTTAAAAAAAAAAAAGAAAAATCTGTGAAGGAAAAATTGAACAATAACTTCGACTTTTCTGATTTAAGCCTTACATAATTGGTGACTAAAATTACTGCCATCGTCTTTTTTTGTTCAGTACGTGATAAGTGTCTGAAAGCTTTATTTAGTCTTATGAAAATTTTGGACTACTAGCAATTAACATCAGTTACATTTCTTTTAAAACTTCTTAACCTCTCTGTTGCAGGGTATAATTTTAGAATGAGGTCACACTGTCTGCATAATCACAATGTATTGTTCAACCTGACATTAAAAGAAGATAAAGACTGCTACTAGTAAGGGACACCAATTACAGCTTTGGTATCACAGCCATTAAAATGCAGTGGCCAGCAAGCGCTCTAAAATGTTATCATTGGACAAAAGAATCCAAAATGTGACAAAGTGACAAAGTTATCTTTTACTTGGGTCAGGGTGCCATTGCATAAGTATAAAGTGTTCCAGCTTTCTATTTAAAATACAGATAAACCTTAAATTGTTTTAATGGGACAACAACAACAAAAATCTCTTTTCCAAAAGATTTTAAGATTGATGGCAACATTTGTTTTATGGATTTTTTTTTAAATATTAATTAATGAGGGGCTTGTAAGTGGTTTTAAAGCAATTAGTAGCCATTATGCTGTCTTTGAAGATCAACTGCTATTTTATTTTCTGTTCTGGTTATCAGCTTTATTAGCTTCAAGTGGTAAATGTGAAAAATGCTTGCATAATCTTCAAAGTAAGCTCATTTTTTTATACTGCCTTTTATTTTTTTAGTCTTTGTAATCAAGTAGCCTCCAACATATGATCTGCTTCTATAATAATATGTAGAGTTAATAAATTTGTTTTTCTGCAATCGGAATACTAACTCCCATATCTAATAACGTAGAAGATACATCAATAATAATAATAGTCTACTTTGAGGATCTTACAAATATACCAGTTATAAGCTAAGCCTTAGCAGGGGATTTGTGCCTATTCCATGCCCAGAATTGGGTATATTTTTATTTTTAAAAAATAATGAAAATATTTCCAGTTTATCTTTTCCCAAAAAAGTTAGGGGGATTTGTTATACATTTGCTCATAATTAGTGTGTGAAATTAGATAATTGTAATTAAGCTCATTCTGGGCTTTTCTGCTTTTAATAATTTTAAGTAATTAGGCTAGTGTTATGCATGATTAACATGTCTTTCCTATCCTTTCAGCATGCTACAATTAAGTCCATTAGAATTCAGCTGGCAGATATATAATATTAGCATACTGGTTAGGAAAATATTTTTCAAAATACAGTCTTCAGTATTTCCTCCAGAATTCAGGCTTCTATTTTCAGGAAATTATGGCTGAATTTTCAAATTGGAATTTTTAATATTAAATATGTGAGATACCTTAAGGACTGGGATATTTTACCCAGAATTTGCAACTCTTTCATTTTAGTTTGTCCACTTTTTTTGTCCAGAGCTTGTCCCACTTATATACCGTAACTGCAGTGTTGTCTGGACCCTAAAATGAGCTGGAGCTGCTCTTTGCTGCCCTTGAGCCGTGGAGCCTTGCTGCTCCCTCTAACCTCAACTTGGTGCCGTTGGCACCTGGCGATGCTCGGAGAGGCCGTGCTGGGAGGTTCTGTGGAGGTTCCTCTCTATGTTCCTTCCCCTAGAGTTCTGGTACTTCCAACAGATTTAGGGGAGGGGAGGCGCATGTAATAAATTAGGTATGCTGTGCTAACGGGAACTGCACTTCTAAATGGCAAGGTAGCACCGTGGAGTTTGTGTCATCTGAGTGTGGTCCCTGGGAGCAGACAGGCAAACATGTTACATGGTAAGTGGCTATTCACTGACAAGGCTGAGTGGCAAAGCGCGAATAAAAAAATTATTTTATAAGAGTTAACATCGTTATATTTTAATATTGAGCTTATGGCCTATTTTTAGCACAGTAGATGTCTTTTACTGTGAAATGTATCATTTTGCTGCATTTGAAAATAATGATGAGCTGAGTTTTGCCTCCAGAGCAAACGCTTCCAGCAAAACAATCATCTATTTTAAGAACAGGCTAAGGATTTTGTAATGTAGTGTTTTCATGGTGATTTAGCGTGAAGTTCAGCTGCCTAAATTTAGGCACCTAGCACCACTTGAGACACATGGGGCTTGTGAGACATCTTCCTGGGGCTGCCGCGTGTGACTCGGCCCCGACGCGCTGCGGAGCCAGAGCCGTCCGTGCCACTGCGAGCCGGCGGGAAGCGGGAGCTTTCCCTAGCCAGGCTCCAACAGTTGTAATCGTTTTGTGTCTGCTCAGCGTGTAAAATCTCAGTCTGCCAAATTTCACATCACTTCGTTTATGGCAGCGTGGAATGTGAAAAATATTTTAAGGTAAGTTGTTACCTATTGTTAAAACCCACTTGTTCCCTAGATGGAAATTGATCTGGCTAAAGGTGAAGCACGACACAAAGAAGCAATTCTTAAAGTCAAGGAAGAAGCTAGAGTGGAATTAGACATTGAAAGACAAAAACAGCAAGAACTAATCACAAAATATCAGAGAGATTACGAAGAGCTCCAGAAGAAGGTGTGTAACACTCCAGAGAAAAGTTTTCTGGCAGTAGATAATGTAAACTTTTGTGAAATAGTATATGAAAGAATAAAACCTTCTTTATATGTGGGCCCATATCTAGATGATACAGTATTTTTTATCCAGTCTTAGTATATGGCATATGTTTCTTTTTTTGTTTTAAATGGAACAAGCTAAAAACTAACTATTCTAGTTAAAGTTAAATGGTGTGGAAGTTTACAATGAGGGTAGTGAAACACTGGAACAGGTTGCCCAGAGAGGTGGTGGAGGCCCCATCCCTGGAAACATTCAAGGACAGGTTGGACGGGGCTCTGAGCAACCTGATCTGGTTTAAGGTGTCCCTGCTCACTCCAGGGGGGTTGGATTAGATGACCTCTGGGGGTCCCTTCCAACCCAAAATATTCTATGATGCTATGATTTTTCCTTTTCTCACATTTTCTCTACCCAGAGTTCATCTATGTCCATAGACCATAGTTGCTAATTATTTTTAAACTGACATCACCATTTTTGAAAAGCTTTGGACTGTTTCGGACTATGGCAAGTTGTCACAAAACCATCCACACTGTTTTTTCCCTTCCCAAATTAATTCAGCACCGATGGGGTAAGGTCCAGTGGCCAGTTAACTGCTTTCTTGTCTGTATTGGTGGTGGTTGCATCACGCACAGTTGGCTGTTCCCAGCTACCCAGGCCTACAGTTTTTGAAGTTTGATATAGAAATCGAAAAGTATACCTATAACCTTTGTTTTCAAGATTAATTTGACACATTTCTTGAGAATTCTGGAAAAATTGAAGAAATCTGATGAAGTTATGTTGTTATTTAAAATTTGCTGCATTACACAGTGTTTTACAGAGCTAAAAATAACAGTTTGACTTAGTTCACTTTACAAATATTTGACTATGATTTTAAAACCCTGAAGAAATAGTGTCTTGCTGTAAAGAAGCTAAGGTTTTCCCATTTTTACCTCTATTTCTCTGTTTGATCTTGGATATACTAATTAATCTCTCTTCTGCGTGAGTTTTGAGTAATTTACAGCTCTCTGATATCCTTTGAGGGTATTATGTAAATTCAAAGCATTTATTTTTGTCTCTGAGGACATGTATGTTTGCATTTGTATTTTTTTTCCTGAAGTCAACGTTTGTCTGATGCTTAATTCTACATATCTAAAGACACCCACTGAATGTAGATTAATGCAATTTTTGTCTAATCTAATGCAGATACCAGGATTAATATCCAGTGCCACCAACAGCTTAAGGATGGAGACAGAAATTCTTGAAAAGAAGCTTCAAGATGCCCAGATCAAACTTGCAGAGAAAGATGAAGATAAGGAAAAAGAAATTCAGAGCCTTAAAAGACTAATTACTGAACTTGAATTTCAGCTGACAATGGAAAAGAACAATAATGAATCATTTCTGGATAATATGAGGAAAGAAATTAAACACAAGTCAGATGAACTGGAAAAATTAACCCAGGAGAGGACACAGCTGATTCACAATTTGAGCCAAGTTCAAGAGGAGGTAGGAACATGACCGAGGAAATGCCCTGTTATTTTTACTAAGAGACATGTGATTTCTAAAATGGTTCAAAGCATCTATATTTCAGACCCTGATATGTTCTGGTTTAAGAACCATTGAAATGAAAATATTTATAAAAGAAGCCCATCATAACTTCATAAATACGATGTACCACAAAATATGTGAAATTTTTGATTCAGCAAGCACTTAAACTAGTGTTTTATTTTATACATTTATATATTTCAGGTCCTGCAAGACATTTATTTCTTAGTCTCTAGCTTCTCATCATGCTAAATAAACATGAGTAAACAGTAAAGCATTCTTTAAAGTAGAAGACATGGAGCTTTCTCGTTCTTTGAACAGGACAGCAGCAATCCTTCCTATAATCTTACTTATTTTGGAAATCATTTGTAATAAAAGACTTCATACTGTCGATAGGAACAAGAATGGACATAATCCTGGTCTGAATGGCTTCTGGGCCAGAGATTGCATCTTTTAATGTAGGACTATACGTGTGCATCCTGCCATGCTAGCTGGGGACGTATCCCACCTCCCACCAGTAAATCCACTTTCTGTGCATAAAAATTAATCATATGTGAAGAGAAATGTGACTGATGGGTATTCTTATGAAAAGCATTTGCTGAATGTTTGGAATATAATGGGAAGGGAGGAGAGAGAGCTGTACTGCTCCATGAGAAATGTGAAAACAGTGAAGTCAGGGACTGTAGATAAGATTAGACTGGAATGTCCAAAGTAATTAAGTGGCAGAAAAAAATTGGTAAACAGCGAAAAGAAAACTCTTCAAGATGAATTAGGGCTTGGGTTAATACTTATTTCTTTCTTGAAAAACGTTCAAAACCACTGTGTTAGTGAAATCAGAATGATGTTGGCAGTCGTTCTGTCCTGTGCCTACGGAAAAGGCTCTTGGAAAGCCACGCGCTCCTCAAGTATTGGTCAGGAACTTCAGCAGAGCAAGGAACATGCTGTTATCCTCAACTGTGAGATTCCACCAGCTCTGCTTATGTTCTTAGTTTTCCCCACAATGAAGCAGAGTTCCCCCACTAATATAATTGTATTAGGAAATGGGGAGATGAGTGTTTGAAAATTGAAACTGGTTTTAAGATAAACTTTGCACCAGAACACCTTCTCAGATTTGCAGATAACACTTTCCAAATAATTTCATGGACTATCGGTGACCATTGAGTGGCAGGGAAAGTATCATCTAACTTTCATTAACTTGTCTGCAGAGTTAGGTATTCAGAGAATAAGTTATTTTGGATATTTGCATCTCTCCCATTTCTACCTCTGCATGTTGTTACGTTCCTTCTGCAACAGCTCCTTCGCTTGCAGTCAGGACAGAGCTTAGAGAGCCTGAGCAGAACTTCTGTCTTTCCACTCTACATCCACTACAGATGCTTTGACCAAAGTAAAACTTTAAAACATTAAAAAAAATGGTCAACAAAGGACTTTTCATTTCTCCATCATTTTTCAAGTTTTGACAGGAACAGACAGGCACAAATTTAATAGTTTTAGTAACCTCTTGTTGGCTAAACAAAGCTTACCCCCTTCTACGTTAGTGGGAGCACACTTCTGTGCTCTGACTTTACTGACACCAGTATTTGCTCTTCAAAACTTCAAAAACATGCCATTGAGATTATCTTTCTTACACATTTTCTCCCCTGTATACACCCACTGTCATAATCACATAGAGGATTTCAAATACAAGTGTTTGTCCTCACTTCAAGGCGGTACATGATCTGAGCTGACATACGGCTCATACGTCCAGCAATGAAGAGGTTTACACAGAAATGTTTGTGTCTGGGCAATGAGGCAGTGCATGACTGAGAGTGTTCTCTGTTTGACTCGATCATCACTCTCTGTGTTGTCGACTGCCTTGGTGGTTGCTTCCCTTCCACTCTCGTGGACCTCCTGGTGTCAGCAACAGTCGCTTGCTTAGAAGAACAAAAAAGTGGATATTTTCTGCTTGTGTTAGTACTTTCAGTAGTTCTGACTTATATGAATTCATTTAGTGATGTTGTCCCTTGTGTTTTATTTACTTTTTGTTTCAGCTGGAAACCAGGAAATTTAGCATCACAAATAACTTCTACATAATAACTTGGGGACTTCTGTCATACGGAACCAGTTTCAGTTGTCTGCTCAAGGCCCAGTACCAGTCACTTCCCATTTAGGTATTGGTAACCACAGTGCAAAGTTTGTGAAAACCACTAGACTTGAAAATCATTTATCCCAATTATTTGGGAAATAATAATCAATAAAGAATGCTGCCCCAAAAAATCCATGCACAATTATTTAAACTACAGAGGTGGAGAACTTCTTGAACATCTTTTCATAGTGAGGTGGCGTGGTAATATTCAACCTCTGTGCGTTCCTTTATCCTTTCCAAGAGCAGCATTCCCAGTTTCCCCCTAGTTGGAGGATGGGCAGGAGAGCAGAAGTAACTTCTGATAACTTACCTCATGTTTTCCCCTGTCTCCTGAGGGAATGAAGGATGTGTAAATGCTGATGTGTATCCTTTGAGCGACTTTCAGAGAAACCAAAATATGGGGAAAATATTGGAGGGTTTGTGTGCATCAGTAACCCTCCAGCCACCCTTGCCTTAAGGCTGAGGAGTTTAATAGGCACACTTTTTGACTAATGGCATTTTGTAAAGCCAGTGTTTGTTTCTGTTTGCAGAACACTCTTCTCCAGGAAACGGTGCGCAGAGAGTGTGAGGAACGCTATGAGCTGACTGCAGCTTTGACTCAAGCCAGGGAACAAGTACTGGAACTAAAAAAGCTCAGTGGAAACTTCCCGTTATCGCTGTGTTCCCTGACTCAGGGCAGCCTAACCTCCTCTGCTGCCCTGCTCGCTGATTACGGGCAGAAAAGCCGCACAAGCCCCAGCGCTGGGAAGGAAATCAATCTCTCCGGACAGTTTGGTATTTCAAGAGCTGCTAAGCAAAGCGGCTTCGCTGAATGAGCCCAGGAGCAGGATTGCTGCAGTTATAAGAAGACAACTGAGTCAGCTCTGACTGCTGCATACACAGCACATGGGAAACCATTCCAGTGTATCAAATGACCATTTACTTGTGGACCCCATGCGTCAAATCTTAGCCGATGCAATTCATGCATTTCTACAACTTAAAATTAAGTTAAACTTTTATATATTTTTGATGCAATAATGTTTCTTTGTCCATTGCATATCAGTGTAATTAAATGCTACCTACACTTCAAGATGGGAGAAGTAAAAAAGAAAAAATATTGTGTCTCCAAGAGGAGCACATCTTCAGTAGGTGTAATTAAAATAACTGCCAATTTCAAATACCGCTTTCCCTAACCAGTTTTTTGGCATTTTCCTATTTTGTGTGTTCTCCCATGTAAGTTAATTGCTTGTTTCTGGTGTAAAAATGTGATTTGTTCACTTAGAATCAGATTTTTGCAATTATTTAATTCAGTAGTGTTATATTTGCAAATAATTATGCTTAGGTCGGTGAGACTTGCTAGTTGTGGAGCATATATCACTTAGCCTGAAAACGCGGCAAATCCGTGCGCTCCGTAGACTAGCCATTGGCAGGGACATGGCTTCATCCATCTGTGAGTCTTCAAGCTGTGCTAATTAACAAGGAGTTGAAGACTTAATACATTTTGTCCCAAAGATGGTTGCCTCTTGAATTTAATTAGAAGTGTCTTTACGTTGAGCATGATTTTTAGCTTCAAAGTAAGTCACGTTGGAGTTCTCTATAAAAGTGCTACGCAGTTAGCAGTGTCCCTGCTCACTGCAGGGGGGTTGGACTAGATGACCTCTAGGGGTCCCTTCCAACCCAAAACATTCTATGATTCTATTTAGGAGGAGCAGTATTTTTATTTTACCGTTTGATACATGGAACCGTGGTTTGTTTTGGAGCACAGAAAGCCCGGACAAGTCTTGGTTGTTTCTGTTAACGTGCAAACGCCACAGAAGCAGCTGCTTTTTGAACAAGGCAGGTCTGCTGGGGCAGTTTGTCAATGTGGAGCACCCAGTGGGTGAAGTGAAACAGCGATGGGCAGCAGAGAGACAGTCTGAGATTTTATTTATTATGTCAGTAGATAATTGAGTGGTTTTGTCAGATAAGCCCAAAGAGGGCCAGTTTGGTGATGGTAGAAGGTTCTGGCAACAGCCCAGTGGTCATCAGACAAGGAGAGGTGATGAAGCAGGCCCAGGTCAGCCTGGCAAGTCCTTTGGGCAGAGGTAGACCCACCACGTAGACCCAGCTCAGGCAAGGGCTGGGGACAGGGCAGCAGCGAGGGGCAGGAGCCCCAGGCACAGGGGCAGGTCAGACCTGCTGGTGCCCCAGAGGCACTCTCTTGGAAGACTGCTGTTCATCATCTTCTGAGACCATCAGCTCTGACTTGGACAGAAACTTCATGGGAGGTAAGTTAGTGGGGAGCATTGTGGAGACTCTCAGAGCATGCATATGAACAGCTGCACGACTGAACTTGCCTGCTCCTGTTTAAGTTTTGGGACTGGGATTGCTCTTCACTCAGTCTTGGAGTTGCTTCTTTGCAGGACACTTCACTTGTAAACCCACATACATTTATAATTGCACCATGAACCTTGACCTTCTCGATATTTCTGAGTGATGAGTTAGTCCTATGTGTGACAACATGACAGCAGTCAGCCATGTCTTCAATGCTGGAGTAAATTAGAAAAGCTTTGTTGGATCCAGTGGCGTAACGGGGGATTAATTTTATTCAATAAAATCAGTGGAAGAAACGACCATTGTAGATTTAGCATCTGGAGCTAGATTTGAAAACACACTTTGTCTTAGTCAACTTCTGCTCCCACTGAAACCATCAGTAAGCCTTACCTGGTTTCAGTAGTAGCAGAGTTTATCCAAAAGCTCAAAAATCCTTTATTCACAAATTCCCAAAGCAACAAAAAATCAGTATTATAAAAGTTACTCTGGCAGCTGCTGCTGTGTAGCCATGGCGGAGGTACTCTGCAGTCAGTTGGCAGATTGAATGGACCTGAACTTGACAATCTTCCGTGCACTCACCACGAAGACACCGTTAGCAAGAAGTCAGCTGATCTGGGTGCGTTAGAACCAACCACAAATCCTGTCCCCAGGAGAGTACAGGCTCAGCCTGGTGGAGGCCTGAGCCTGACAACTCACCTTTGAGCTTTCCTCAGCTTTGGCTTGACAGAAGGCCTGGTGGCTGCTGTGGGTGAGGCCAGCTTGCCTTCCCCGCTGCAGAAGAGCCCGGCTCTAGCTTCCAGCCCCAGCGTGTACCGATAGGCAGAGTCCTCCCTGTGCTCAGTGGAGGCTTGTTTTGTTTTAGTAAAACGGGATTGTGCTCGATGCCTATTGACTAATTAATTGGGCAATGGCAGCAGTGAGCTTTAAGCACAGCCACGGTACCTGGGAAACCATGGGAACCGTCTATGGGACCTGCTGACATTGCTCTGTTACACGTGTTTTTCTTAAAGATGTTGAAAATTGGAAAAGTCAAAGATTGTGAAAGCAATTCCACTGAAACGCAAGCCTCAGGAAGTACATTTTTCAGTAAGTACACAAATGCAGAGAGAAAAGGATGGGGAGCACTCCCGAAAGCCTGTTTGGAGGGTGGCCAGATGGTCCCCGGCTCTGGTCAGTGATGATGCTGAGTTTGCCTTTAGGAAAGGTCCTGACTTCTTAGAGCTTGAAAATTATTATTCAACTGTCTACCCAGAGTCTGCCTGTGCTGAAGGAATAGATCTTCATTGAGGCAGTTCTTCAAATGATGAGCTCCAGAGCTCTGTTATGTAGATTTTTCATAAAATTTTAGATGGGCGTCAGTTGTATTTTACAGTCTTATAAATGATGTAAATCCAGTAAATGCTATTCCATGATTTTACACCCTTGTGTAGCTATGGAACAGGTGTCATGGTGAACCCTGCGGTAGCTGGTGTCATAATCTGGAGTTTAATACTGGAAGGTTTATACCCAAGAAGAGGTGGGATGTTTAGCTGTGGACTGTCCTGCTGGCTGGAGATCACCACTACGCAGTGACGTCTCCGTGCCTAAAGCAAAGCCAGAGCGCAGATGTGGCAAACAGCCTGTCCCTGTGTAATTCTTACCTTCGGTAACAGAGCGTATCCCCAGTTCTGCATTGTAGCAGCCGTTCCCGCCCTTGTCCTGCTGGGGCCATGCAAACAGGTCAGATTTAAAATCTGGGCTCTTGTCCACCGCGCCGGTGTTTATGTCCTGTAGCAGCAGCAGCAGTAAAGAATGACTGTGTGGTTGTAAATTGTAAAGAAAGGAATAGCACATAAAATAATGAGAGCAGTCACAGAAATAATGTTTCTAGCATGAGGGATCATATAAATCATGGACCTAAACCAAGTAAGAACAAGTATTTCCCTTACTTCCCCTCCCTCACAGAAACCCAGAACTCCTGCTGCTAAGCAATAAGCAAAATATATAAATGTCAGGAAACCTTTTTTTACCAGCTTTTAAAAACAATCAAATTAATTTCACATAGTCAAGGAAAGTTTACAGAGTCTTTCTCGTAATGGGATGAAACGCACTAGCAGAAAGTACCATGGAGAATGTCGACACCTAATTATATCACCACGTTTTCAGGAAATAAAACTTCCTGGAGGCAACGCATCTTGTGGAAGTGGTGTCATTTATGAATGGGTTTTTTTGTATGCTGGACCTTGCACTCTAGGACTCATGGCACAAGGGAATACTAAAAAAATCTCCAAGCTTGAAACAAATCTGCCTCTGTGGGATCCTGTCCTGCCGGCTGTAGGCAGTAAACCATCCTTTCACTTCTCAAGGTTACAAGGAAACGTCCCATGGCAACGGGCTGTCTTGTTCTTGCCTAATGCAAAGGCTTCTGTTTTCTTCCTTGACAGAGCTGATATTGTTGCCTGATTCAGAATAGTAGCTTGTACAGTCCTAAATCTTTCCATAAAGTATTAATCCTACTAGCAGGCTGCCAGTTTGCATACTGGGATATCCAATGCCCTGACATACTGCGTTATTACTAATTTATCTATGTATTTTCACATTCTTCACTTCCAGAGCAGTTTCAAGTATTTACTGTCTTACTGTTAACCGGAGAGAATCTACGCTCAGCGGCTGAGGACAGCCTGTGAGTATTGGGAGGAAGCAGAAGTGCCTGGGCGCAAGCTGTGAGGGGTCTGCCGTCCCACTCGTGGGTTTGAGGATGGCAAAGGAGGCCGTGGTGAGGTCAGCATCCTGCGAGGCCCTGGCGAGGCTGAGCTGGGCGTTTTGGCTGTGCCGGCCAGCGCTGCCCCACGCTTGCCCTCTCCAGCCCGTCCACTGTGCCAACCCCAATTCCTCTGGGCATGAAAACAAGAGTCAGCAATGTTGGTCTGATGCTTTAGGGAAGGCTTCGTGTGAGCATCACACATCATTTGTGGTTTGGCCAACTGTCTCTTGAGTGCAAACCCATCATCGTTGATGGGGAAAGCACATATATCTGTGTGTGATGGGAGGGGAGGTACAGGGCACTACCCAAAGCTAAGGGGGGACAGGGCAAGTGAAGCCATTGCAGTGGTTTTGGCATGTAAAGCAATGGAAGACTTCTTTTGGGGTGCGTCAAGCTTCTTCTTGTGCTTTCTGAACGCTCCATTCAAGCTCCTGTCCCATTCTGTGTTCACCGGGGAGCTCCCCAGCCTCAGGCCAGGCCTTTGCTCTGCCCCAACTCTGCAGAAGGTGCCAATGAAATTAATAAGCTGAAGACGGAGTTTCTGACTTGCAGGCCTTACACAAGCCATGTGTATCTGCAGTGATGCTCGGCTGCCGTAGCAGAATGAGCGAGCAATTTTTAGACAACTGCAATACAGGGTTTGTCCTCTTCTTGGTAAAGGCTTGCATCCCAGGAGATAAATCAGATGGACATGGCCAACATAGTCTAGAGGGGGAAAGCTTTGAGCAGGGGACATCCTGCAGGACAGTGGGACAGGAGCTCTTCTGGGGGCAGTCCTTG